TTTTATCTGTCCCATGTAGTTATTCCTCGGTCTTCCTCTTCGTCTTTTGTTCTGTATTTTTCCCTCTACTATGCTCTTAAAAAAATCATCATGTCGTATAAGGTGGCCCAGCATTTTGCCTCTTCTGTTCTCTATTATTTTAATTAATGTTCTTTTCTCGTTCACTCTTTTCAGGGCTTCCTCCTTTGTTAGTTTTTTTTGTTCAGCAGAATACTCGAATGCGGTACTAGTAATTATTGATATACATACATACTAAAATTACATATATAAACGAATAAATATATATAAATAACAAATATACTTACACATATATGACATATACTATATTATACACGAATTTGAGAATAATATAAAGCACTTACTGTTCGGATAAAGTATAAAATTGAGCATGAACCTTTTTTTTTGAAAGACGGTTTATTTTATCATACAGCAAGATTATTTTTTACCCGCGACTTTGTCCGCCTGACTGGAATATGTTCAGTGGCCGAGATAAAAAGCAGCCTACACCCTTTTCCGTCCCATATAGTCAGATATATACCAAGTTTCATGAAGATAAATTATATTAATAATAATAATAATACAGTATAAGAGAAATAGAATTTGATAAAAAATACAAATATACACCTATACCAAGCCGGCTAGCCAGCATGATAATAGAGATATCCTTATCGTTTGAAGGGTGGGATATGGCGTGAATTTACTGGGTACAGAGGAATAACACCTGAGTCCTCAGGAATGGCAACACATGGGGGGGTATCATGGGCGAAACAGTATACTCTGTTATGTCCATGGTACTGCTCATGTCTATAGGCGACGGTTACCACATTCCATCAAATGGACCGTCAGCTTGTTTGCCATTCTAAGTTGTATAAAAAAAAATTACTTATTGTCATTAATCTTTCATAAAATTTTAATACATATACTATATTTATTTAAACTTTAATGCACAGTAAAATTCTATGTACATTTGGCGAACTTAACACCGGACGGTGTTCTCTACCAGTCAACCATTGGGCAAACCGAGAAATACATACATAAATAAATACATAAAATATTACTATATAAAATAATTAAATAAAACAACTGCAACAAAAGTGCAAATAGTAATTTATGTATATTATATATGTATTAAAAAATATACAATTGTTTTTTTTTTTTAAATTGACAGACCATAGCGACATTGACGTAATTTTTTTTTAATAATAATAATATTTATTTAATCATACTACATAAGGCCCATTTTGTTAATTATAAATTGACTTAACCTATGTTAGTAAATGAGCGGTCATAACGCTCTTACATTGATAACCTGTCCCACCCAATATTTTAGGATGGGACAGTCCATTTTATCAGCAAATGTCTTCAAGACACCGTTTGAGCTAACACGCAACCCTACTCAACAGCGAAACGATGGGGGGAAAGGGATTGTTAGTAATAGAGACTGAAAATCCCATTGCTAGTAATATACCTAACCAGGTCGTCCTCCACGCGGTTCCCCCTAGAAACTATCATGGTTAATTCCTGATGAATTCATCATGATGGGATGAATCTATCATCGCCAGCGTATCCCGTTAGCGCAGGTGGGGTTACCGTTCCATTTTCATCAATAAAAAAAAATATCTAACCAAGTATCTGATGAAAACCCAGTTCACATAATGGTGCTCCGCCAGCGTATCCCGTTAGCGCAAGCGGAGTTACCAATCCATTTTCATCCAACAAAAAAAAAAAAAACAGCGAAACGATTCGTTTACACCGTATTGAGTAAAAGGCTGTCACAGTTATTATTTAACTGTAGGATATAGGGTTCCAAGTTATAGTTAACTGAATTACTGCGGGTAGTTACTGTGACAGCGCTTGGAGGTCAACGACGTTAAGTGTTTAACTTTGTTATGTCTATCACATGACCTTACTAACTGTATCCCGTGGTTTCACTCGCATAAAATAAAATGTATATGTATATAACGTGTGTACCACATTTTATTCTAATCTATTTGGGAGTTTTTTTTTTTTTTCTGTGAAAGAATAACAGATTTTCTTTCCATACATTTCGTGTATAATATAGTATATTTTATATATGTGTAAGTATATTTGTTATTTATATATTTATTTATTCGTTTATATATATAATTTAAGTATGTATGTATATCAATAATTAGTAGTACCGCATTCGAGTATTCTGACACTTGCCTATGATTGACTGGGAGAGAATGCTTTTAGCATTAAGTCCGCCATGTACACATATAGTGTACTAATGAATAAATAAATACATAGTCACTGTGTGGTCCCAGCATAGAATGTAAAACCATCCCTTCCTTTCCCGTGGGTGTCATAAGAGACGACTAAGGGAACTTCATAGTCGAGGAATGAGTAGAAGTGCACCTCTTAAATCAGCGTGTCGGTCCTGGCATAGAATAGGCCACTCATTCCTTTAAGGAGGGTAAGGGACGGGCAGCAGCGTTTCTCTTAAATCATCTCCAAAGCCTAACTGCAGTTGCCAATCCAAGTTGCCAAGCGTAGCAACTACTGAAAACTCCCTTCATGGGGAAGGCCTATGTTCACCAGTTCATCATAAAATACCACGTTATAGTAGCAATATATATATATATATATATATATATATATATATATATATATATATATATATATATATATATATATATATATAGAATATTCTGGTCATAAAATCTCCAAAATTTTGAGAATTTGGAGATATTCCTTACATAACAATGAACTGACCCGTTTCTTATCGGGTTAAAAAATACCCTCTCAACTCTCAAGTTAAGGCAAACAATACTCATTTACAAATTTTTATTAAAATCGGTTGAGTGGTTTCGGAGATTAGCATGAACAAACATCGTAAGACGATATTAATATATTTATAGGCATTCTTCTACTATTTGGAGTCCCAAACAAACTTATAACTCCCCAGATAAAAAGTAACAGTCGACTAAAGACATGAACATGACTGAATGAAGCTCTATGGCCATCACAGTATACACTGAGATACCATTTTATCCCTCATAAATTGCGATTCCTGAGGATTAAGGTGTATATGGCGGTGTGTTCGGACGGGTCATTAAATTTCCTAAAATATGGTTTAACGCATTGATGGCTGGCTCATCTGTCATACTCGTGAACGGGTGCTGCTTGTTGGAACTAGTTTGTTCATGTTTGCTTGCTTTTTTTTCTTTTACAACACAGGGGGCAAACGAGCATACGGCTCACCTGATGGTAAGTGACTACCAATGACAATGATCACCCACAACACCAGCGGCATTGCTGGTGTGCTGCCGGCCTTTTAAAAAGGAATATGCTCTTTTCTTGAAGGTTATGTTGTCGTATCGGTTCGGAAATACTGCTGCTGGAAGTTGATTCCAAAGAGTGGTTGTGCGTAGAAGAAAGTGCCTTGAAAAACGCACGGTGGAAGACCGCCACTCGTCCAGATGATTGTGATGAAACTTTAATTTATGGCGGGTTGTACGTTGTTTATTTTCCATTTAATAATACATATAAATAGAACTAAAATTCAATTATATTCACAGTACCCATACGAATGTAAAAATATCTTGTACATAATAATTTGAAAAGAGTAACTGTTCAGTTTCTTACGGGTTCTTCTCAGTAGCTAAAGACATCTCGAATCCAGCAGTGAAATCATAAAATTTAAATATAATTTAACAATTTTAATAATTAATTAATTATTTTATTTTATATTTTAACCATTCGTGTTTAAACCGTGAAGCAGTTGTGTTTGCATAGCTGTGTTTCGGTTTGAAGGGTGGGATATGGCGTGAATTTACTGGGTACAAAGGAATAACACCTGAGTCCTCATGAATGGCAACGCATGGGGGGTATCGTGGGCGAAACAGTATATGTTATGTCCATGTTACTGCTCATGTCTATAGGCGACGGTTACCACTTTCCATCGGGTGGGCCGTCAGCTTGTTTGCCATTCTTAGTTGTATAAAAAAAAAATTACGATATAAAAAAGCTTGTAAACAAGACCATTGGAATAGAGATTATTTCTATTCCAGTCAATATAATATGGAGTTGTAACTATATCTTCTCCATATCCAAAAACTGTTTAAAACAAATGTTCTGAAAGGTCATTATTTAAAATCATCATTATATGAATATTTGTAAAGGAAATCTTTGTGTTTTTCATGAAAAAAAAAAAGTAGATAAATATCTATACTTATATACGACATAAAATATTCTTTTATATCATCATTATTATTAAAAAAATCTTTCAAATTCTTGTAAAGGTATCCGGCTACAAGAGCCAAATATCACAGATAAGTAAGTCTATTATACTGTACGGAAATGTCCCAGAAGTGAATTACTCATTATATTAGATAGTTCTCGTACACTACGGCGTCCTTGGCCTATTTGCCAATTATTATTGTCATAATATTATTTTAACTGTAGTCGTTAAAATCTCGTTTAACGTCTCATTATCATACGCAACGATCACTTACATTAGATAATAAACCAAATGAATTTAACGTTGAGATTTGACGTTGAATTTAACATTTGCTCTCAAATGTATTTATTTATAAGTGTACAGTATCTACAGGGATAGTCGTGATGATAGACGTACCTAATAATATCCGCAACAGTTAATCAATATATCGCCAGTCCCCACCATTGCGTTTCTAAAAAAACTAGATGAAAATATATCCACTGGCTCGCTGCAGCAGCCATAAAATGTTTCGATGCCTGTATAACGCGCGGTTCCTACTGGAACAAAGCAATTTACCTCGAAATGGCTTTACGACCTCACGCGGTATAGGTTTCACAAATGAAAATGAAATTAAAAGCACATACGAACATCAATATTTCAAGGCTTAAACCTTTTATGGAGGGAAATCTGTGACGCCATGACAGTTATTTTCCCGCGTTAATTTTTAATGGCGGCGACAGGTGTCAGCTCTGCGCACCGTTTGTGTATTGGAGATTTTTTACGAATAAAACTTGTAATTTACATAAACAGTACTCACCCCAAAGTGGTCATTGTCACGATGGTGTACCAGAAGGCAGCAGGAATGGATGTGAAGTTGGTATCTTGCTCGTTTTTCTCCGCGTAAAACATAACGGTGGCGAATATGATGATGGCCATCGCCAGCGAGAAAACTAGGAAACCGAGCTCGCTCGCGCATGACTTCAGCGTGTACCCGAGAATCCTGAGCCCCTGCGAGTGCCTGGAGAATTTGAAGATACGGAACACTCTGAACACTCGCAACGTAACGAATGCCCCGGACACATCATCGTTGTCCGTGATCCCGAGCCCGATGTAGTAAGGCAATATCGCGACTACGTCGATGATGGACATTACGGACCGGACGAACTTACAGCGGTCCGGCGCCGCGAATAGTCGCAGCAGGTATTCGGCAGTGAATATCATCACGCACGCCGTGTCCAAACAGAAGAATACTATTTTGTACCGCTCACCACAGGGCAGCGTACCCGCGCGGCCAGGCCTGTGCCCGCACGGAACTGTCTCCACAACGTTCGCCATCACGGAGACGGCAATGAAAAATCCAGTCACATAATAAAATACTAAAGCGGCCGTCGAAGTGTGTGGGTTCTCGAATGCCCGCCACATCTTCTGCCTCAAGTCTGTGAGCTGCGGGAGACTCTGGTCTCCCGCCTCACTGAGTTTATCATCCATGAGCCTCTCGGCATTCTCCCTCTTTCTATCCCTATAGTCCTCATAACAACAATCTCCAATCACATCTGGGAGGATGCCGAAGAAGGCCAACTCCTCATCGTAACCTGTCAAACACTCATGTTTTGGGTAATGCAACTTCCCTGTTCTGTAATAATTGAGTATATGCCTGAATATATCAGGATCTCTGTCGAAGAAATATTCTCTGCTGTCCTCGTCGTAGAAGAACTCTCTTTCTGAGGAGCCGAGTAGGGAGTCGGGATATTTCTCGAGCGTATTCCGCCATGTCTCGAAGCGGCGTCCGGAGACATTGATGAGGAGTTTCTCGTCTTCGGCGCGGCGGCGATCTTTGGGGACGGGCGGTGGCGGGAGCGGGTGGGTCGCGATGGGCACCCAGCCGATGGCCGCGGCGCGGGCAAACGGGAGCCATGCGGCGACGGACGCCATAGCGCTGTGGACGCGGCACCGTCGCCGCCGCTACTGAACAGCGCTCGCCCCCCCGCCGCGCGCGCTATTTCGGGCCGACCGCCCAGATGCAATATGTGTTGCCAGGTTCGGATCAGGAAATAACTGTATCTACAAGATTTATTGTACGTCATTTATTAACTTCCCAGATCTATCGTTAGAAATAAAAATCATGATTTCAGGTGCGATCATCTGCATCTATCAACAATTTTTTTATCGGATTACAAAGAGAACTTGACAATTAGTATTGTAACACTTATCATTAGAAAATAGACAATAATTAGTCTGCATTATTAATAAGTTAATTTCAGTCCAAACTGTGATAATGTCAGTATTTATTCTTGCTGTTCCATGCTATTAAAACTTATTACGAGTCATATACTAATGAATAAATACTCGTTCTTTTTCAATGTCTTGGTTGCATTGTTAATAAGGAGAGGATTAAGCCTCAAAATCCCTTGCTCATTACAGTCTAGAGACATATAAGGATACTATACCTGAAAGATGAAGACGCTACTCTACTTGGTGCTACATGATTAGAAAAGTCAACTGTAAGTCGGAAGTTAAAATAATTAAAATTCTGAATGTAAAAGCTACGCCATAAAAACTGTTGTATTATGTTTTCGAATAAAAAACTTTCAGAGTATCGTCAACCATATTTGGCATCCAAAAACAATTTTCATTTTCTAATAATTTTATTATTCTTCAACAAAAAATTTCCCAATTTCCAGAAAAGCCAGAATCAGTTTTCTGTACGCGCAACCCTCTCCCGGGAGCGAACGCTTTACGCACGCGCCGTCCGTGACGTCACAGCCTAATAAATTGATTTTCATCTGTTCATCTCGCTCACACCCACCTAATATTCAAACGCTTTGTCTCTGTCATACACTTTTAAGCTCTAGTGACCTTTTGTATATTTTTCACTGCTTTAAAAGAGTTTTTTGAAAGGCTTTTGTCTTCAGGAGTGAAAGGCATCTTGGATTATTAGTCTTTGCCCAGAAAACAGCTTCGGGCCGCATCTTGTTTTGTTTAGAGAAAGGGTTAAGTAATAAGATACTATGGGCAAATGAGTGGTAATGTCTGTCGAGGGTACAAGTTTATAGGCGGATCTAATTAAGTAATCAGATATGGTGAAAGCAATTATGTTTTCTAATTATACTATTGAGATTTATGGTATTTGGAAGCAAAATGAAATTGTTTTACTTGTTATCCTTGCTCTGATTTTGTCAATTTTTTTGAAAAATTGCCAGAAATAGGATGAATTTATAATGAATATATAGAAATTTTATAATGAACAAGACAATACTAAAGAATGTATATGGTGAAATATATAGATAATATATATATGTATAGCGTTCTAATCAGCAGAAATTTATTTTCCTCTAACAAATTTAAACTTGCCTTTCAAATAGTTTAATGACACGATTTTTTTAAAGTAAACATCGTACATGTTTTTCGTTAAAATGGATCTGCATACAAGGGTGTGTTGGCGATGGGAAAACTGCTGGATTTTGGGGTACGATTTGCTCGGTCATCCCCCCCCCCCCTATTCTCCTGATTTAGCACCTTCAGACTTCTATCTATTCAAAAACCTGAAGAAATTTGTTTCTGGGAAGCGGTTCACGTCCAATAAAGAAGTTGAGTCGTAAATGAATATTTTCACAACCTTCCTGACTCTCACTTCCGGAAAGGAATACTGATGTTAGAGAAACGCTGGAGCAAGTGTGTTAAAATTAAGGGAGATTATGTAGAAAAGTAAAAACATTTTCTTACTAAAAATTGCAGTCTTTCATCATCAGACCGAGAACTTTACACCTTAATCTCGTACGCAACATTACTATTAAATTTCTTGCTTTAGTTTCCACGAGACAGGCTTTGCCTAGTATGGGGTCATAGCTAATATTATACCATAACCTAATTTTATTTAAGGAAATCAAGTTATTTTTATTCTTAATATATCATAAGTACTCCAGCTAAATAACACAACAACTAATCAAATACGCACAGACATACAGTCTTCTAAAAAAATTAAAAACACATTTAAACCCATAACTGGAAGAGACCGCTATTCAGTGATAAGGCCGCCCATTGTTGTCTCTTTATCTTTTTTTTATACAACTTAGAATGGCCAACAAGCTGACGGCCCACCTGATGGAAAGTGATAACCGTCGCCTATACACATGAGCAGTACCATGGACATAACAGAGTATACTGTTTCGCCCATGATAACCCCCATGCGTTGCCATTCCTGAGGACTCAGATGTTATTTCTCTGTACCCAGTAAATTCACGCCATATCCCACCCTTCAAACCGAAACACAGCCATGCAAACACAACTGCTTCACGGTTGAAACACGAATGGGACAGAGGTATCCAAGCAATCGACTTTTGTACAAAGTCTCCCTCTTGCTTTTACACATATAATGAAGTTTATGTAATTAAATATTCATTTTGTTTGTGTACATACTGTAATTATGTATGGTAATATTTAATGTATTTATTTATGTATATATTTATTTATGTATATATTTATTTATTTTATATATTATGTGTATGTTTATATTATATGAATTTATTGTTTTATTTTCCCTCGATTCAATAATACACCGCCTGCGTATTCTCGGTTTGCCCAATGGTTGACTAGTAGAGAACACCGTCCGGTGTTAAGTCCGCCAAATGTACATAGAAATTTACTATGCGTTAAAGTTTAAATAAATAAATATTGTTAATATTTATAATCTGTATCATTCTTTGAAGGAAACAGTTTTCATTCATTCATTCATCTCCATGTCAGAGTTTATTGTCATGTCCGTACTCCATTATCACTGTAATATAGATTTGTTAGTACATCTGATAGGCAAATTTTTGAAACTCTCGCTTACTGTATTGTTCGTGATGAACTCTTTTTTTGTAAATAATATACAAACTTTTAGATTATAAGATTAAAGCATAGCAACCTCAAAAAATTTATATTGCTAGCAATGAGACAGGTAGTCCACACTACTAACAACTCCTCCCCCCTTCCCACCATGTCTACATATACCTTTGTTCGGGTACCACACAAAAGGTTTTGCACCAAAATAAATGCAGGTTTTCCTGTTGTGTACCTGAAGGTCTAACTTAAATACTCGATACGTTATCTAGATGCAATCTGCGTAAAAACTGTCGAGGTTTTTCCAAGAGACTACAGCGTGGCGTTCTTTAAAAAAGGAGTAAAGATGTTTCTTCATAGTTGGCAACGCGCGCATATTACCTCCCTGTATTGCAAGCGTTCATAGGCAACGGTAACCGCTTACCATTAGGTGGGCTGTATGCTTGTTTGCCACCACAGTGATATAAAAAAGTACATTACTATAAAATAAATATGAATATTTATAAAAATGTTTAAAAGTGTGGACGTTCATGATTCAATCACAGCAGATTACTAGAAGGAGACTTTGCTCAAAAGTCGTTTGCTTGAGTACGTCTGTCCCATTCGTATTTCTGCTGTAAAGCAGTATGTATTTGCATGGCTACGTTTCGATTTAAAAGCTATAGGATATGACAATTAAATTACAAAATAAAAAAGCATAACACTTTAGTACTCAGGAATAGTAATGCATGGACAAAAACGTATGTATCATGAACAAAAGTATACTCTGTTATGTCCATGGTACTACACATGTCTATAGGCGACGGTTACCACTTTCCATCAGATGAGCTGTGAGCTTATTTGACATTCTAAATTGTATAAAAAAATACGCACAATATAGTTTTTATCCCGTTTAACGGTAGAGCTTGTCTTAAATACTGTAAACAAAAACCCGTCTTCATTTCTAACAAAATTAGTTATTTTAAAAACTAGAGCACTGAATGGATTTTGGTAAAATTCTTATAGGACCAAACTGGAAGTATACCTTTATAATAAAGAAAGAAATTTCCAAATAGGTTTAAAAATGATGGAGTTATAAAGTAACAACACACAAAAAAATACAACCAAATACAGAGCTCCCGTCTTTTTTAAATAGATTTATAAATTAAATATAGCACTAATTGCGTGAAATAGTATATACAAATTATTCTACTACCCTACACTTTATGTTTCACAACTTAACAATATTTTGAAACATTTTAACAACTAACTACGCTCCAAGCTATGACCACAAAGTTATACAAATTATATTAACGGGAGCATGCGTGAAACTATTTCAATTAACGTTTACCAAACTGTAATATAAATACAAAATAATTAAAACTTATATGTTATTTAATTCTCTGATATTATTTATAGTTACTGACAATGTTTTATCTATATCAGAGGGAGACTTTGTACAAAAATCGATTGCTTGGGTACCTCTGTTCCATTCGTGTTTCAATCGTGAAGCAGTTGTGTTTGCATGGCTGTGTTTCGGTTTGAAGGGTGGGATATGGCGTGAATTTACTGGGTACAGAGGAATAACATCTGAGTTCTCAGGAATGGCAACGCATGGGGGAGTCATTGTTTATTTTTATGTTTTTGGTATAATAAAGAATTAAATAATAAATAAATAAAGCTTCTTATAGTCAATGTAATATGAATTGTAAGTACTTTATATTATTCTCAATTTCGTGTATAATAGTATATGTCATATATGTATAAGTATATTTGTTATTCATTGAATGTATATATGTAATTTTAGTATATATGCATATCATTAATTACTAGTACCGCATTCGAGTATTCTGACACTTCCCTATGGTTGACTGGGAGAGAATGCTTTTAGCATTAAGTCCGCCATGTACACATATATGTACTAATGAATAAATAAATAAAAATAAATAAATTGTATTACTGTAGGTGTGCCTAAATAAATAAATACAGATACAAATACGGATCATTTATTTATAATTTACAAAATTACAAAATTGCAAGTTTGTTATATTTTATTCTAATTTCGAGAACACAGCGTTTTCTATATAATAATAATATTGTTTAAAGTAATATTAATTGATAACAATTCTAATCACGTCACAAATTGTTGTTACAGAAATAAAATTCAGCATTATAGGTTATTTATATTTT